AGACATATTCCATGACTAGCTGACAATGAGTCGAATGCTCTGTGTAAGGCAGTCAGAATCGTTGTCGCCAAGCTGTAAGTGTGGACCAAGGGCGCCGAGGGCTTGTGAATTGTTACTTTGAACGCGCTCAAATAGCGAAACACGCACAACTGCCGTCTCGCTTGTATGTACACTCTCTCGCTCTTCGTCGCTTGGCCCCTCTCCCACGCGCTCAGTGTTTCTTGGCTCAGAATCGACTTGTTCTTTCGATGACGAGCCTGTTGACATGCACAATTTATATTGGAATCCCATTATTCATGTCTTGCTGTCATACAGTGTGCCTTTAAATAGTGCTCGTTTATACTCACCGATTCGCAATGAAATAGATGATTGGATACACTCCACTATTGAGAATCCACATCATATTCAGGGCCATATAGGACCAGATATTCGACGGGAGAATTGTCTGAAATATTGAGATGGAGCGGAAAATCGTTTCCAGGTCAACTCGTTGGGCATGATGTGAAGAAAAATTCTCAAATATCTTCGTATGAGCACTCGATGGCCTTTACTTTCTTGATTTCAATGCGGCTACATGGTGCGTGCCATTCGAGCACTCGTCATGCTATGCGTTTGCCATCATGTCACAACAATCATACTGGTTACCTTGTTTACTCACTACATTCACCTGCGAATTATGCCATAGAAAATTGAGCACGGTGCAATAGACGGTAATTACAAGCGCTTGAACAAGTATTTTTATCTCAGCATGACTACTCGAGCTGGCCATGAAACGCTTTCGCTAAAAAGAGATGATTACTGTGCACTGCAGAATACGCAGCGGAACTATATAGGTGCTTTACTTACAGTATGATATAGTGCGATGATGACCAGAATGTAGAACACCGCAGAGATAAGTATAGTGCCCAATTCGATGACCATTTCGATCTTCTGCACCAACCAAGAATGGCTGAGGGTGTAATCGTAGTCCCATGAGTAGCTGAATGGCATTGATTGCCTGGGTACTATCAATGGGAAGAAAACTGAATTAAAACAAGAGCCCTTGTCGAAACCGTTGTTGGACGGCGATGGTGAGTGGCAGGCAGGTTACGTGGCAAGCGAGGTAGTAACCGCTTGCTGAGAGGGGGGGGGGTCGTATATGGGTGGGTGTGTAGCAACAGAATCGTCCAGTGCAGCTGGTGGGCGTGGCCTGTGACCTCCTGAGGAGACGAATCATGCGTCTGGCCATTTGAATATGGATATTGAAGGGACGGTAAAGATTGATGTCACCGTATTGATATCAGATCGAGTCTTGTGTTCAGTTAGGGTTGTTTTTAGTTTTTTCTTTTTTTTCCATGAAATAAAAGTGAAAAAGTTCATCAGAGCATGAACTTCATTAGGGTCTTTGACATTTGCTCTGATGTGTCATCTTTTACAGCAGTTCACCAAAAAACTTGACCTTCATCTATTAGATATTGACGCTGAGGAAGCCGCCAAACAATTGTGTGTTACTATCGAGAGAAGCATCCTTAGATTCTCAATAATTGATGAAATCTGGTAAACTTGCGGATGTACGGTGTAGCAAATCAATTGCTCCAATCACTGTGTTATCGGCTCAACAAATGCACGTCCGTGAGCTGCTGAGTCATTCGCCGCGCGACGCGCCGCGTGCGGCGGGCGCTGCCTCGGACGATTCTGTTGCACGTCTCCCTATATAGGTTGACAGCAGTTCTTTGACAGTTGATATTTTTCCTTTTCCCAAGCGCGGTATCCGCATTGTTCGGAATTTCCCACGGGGGACGAGGTCGTGTTTGCTCGTTGCTTCGCTTTGAGAACAGTGCGGAGGAGGGGTGGGGGGGGGGAGATGAATCTGGCCTTCAGAATGTTGGCCATTTCCTCCTCTGACTTGTACTATAACAGGGTATTAGCTAGGGTGGTAATATATTGCCAAACTTATTCTCGGAGATTGGAAGTGCCCTGATGGCAAGCGAGGTCGCTTAACGCGAGCGCAGCACGAGTGCAGGGTACGATTCTGGGTAGGTTCTTGTGATGGCCAATCAAATTCCATTCCGAAGTTGTTCAGTACGT